TGTCCTTATGTAGATAGCTTGGATCTCCCTTTCTGCTGCCTAAGAATACCATACACAAACTCATCCTTATGTTGCAACAGGGGTGCATCTTGCTAGATGGGCCTGTCCATTTGTTGTGATGATATACATGATACTACTGAAGGGCCTGTCCTTATGTTGTGATGCTATTAGATGATATTACTGACAGGCCCATCTATATGTTGTGACAATAGAAACAATACTACTGAAGGGCCCATCCTTATGTTGTGATGCTATTAAACAGCATTACTGATGGGCCTGTCTTTATGTTTCAACAGGGTACATCTTACTGGGGCCGGGCCTGCCTATATGTTGTGACAATATAAATAATACTGCTGAAGGGACCATCTATATGTTGTGATTCTATACATGAGATTACTGATGGGCCTATCTCTATGTTGTGACAATATAAATAATATTACTGAAGGGCCCATCCATATGTTGTGACTCTATTAAATGATATTAGTGACAGGCCTGTCTTTATGTTTTGACAGGGTACATCTTACTGGGGCTGGGCCTGCCCATATGTTGTGATGATATAAATGATACTACTGAAGGGCCCATCCATATGTTGTGACTCTATCAAATGATATTAGTGACAGGCCCAGCTTTATGTTTTGACAGGGTACATCTTGCTGGGGCTGGGCCTGCCCATATGTTGTGATGCTATGCATGAGATTACTGATGGGCCCATCTCTATGTTGTGACAATATAAATAATATTACTGAAGGGCCCATCCATATGTTGCAACTCTATTACAGCTGTTTGCAAAACGATGTGGACAATCTGTTCAACAATCAGACTGTTTGGATATAGCTGGGATAGGACCCCAGAAGTACCTTAGTGGGTAGCTACTGTCTGTTACCGTAGTACACTAAGAATCGAACATACTGCCCACATGCCCTCTCGCATGGTATCCATCGACCTCAAGTCTCATATTCCTGTCCTTCACCAAAATGGCTATAGCATCAAGCAAATCTGTAGTATTCTAGGCATCAAGAAAACACTCATTTACAAAACTCTCAGACTTCACACCAAGTACAGTGTCATGTACAACCCAAACACTTATTCCCATACCATCAGTCATCGTCACATTCTCAGCCTCAAAGACATTGCATTTATCCTTGCCATCATTCAACATCACAGCACAATCTACCTAGACGAGCTTCGAGAGGAGCTCTGGCTCAAGCATCAAGTTCATATCACTCCATCTACACTTTCTTGAACTCTTCAGGGCCTCCACATCACTCAGAAGGTCATCTCCGCATCTGCCTCTGAGAGGAATGAGGAGTCATGCACACTCTACATGAATCGCATCGCAGCAGAAGTGCCAGACCTGAATATGCTCGTCTTCATTGATGAAGCTTCCAAGGACAAGCATACCTCCACTTGCCCACATGGGCAAACAGTCAGAGGTCTACATTGCCAAGTCAGGAGGTACTTCATACATGGAATGCACTACTCTATTCTCCCTGCCATCATGCTTGATGGCATCATCACATATGATATCATCAAGGGCACTGTTGATGGAGAGCAATTTCTGCGATTTCTGAAGGAGCACGTCATAAGTGAATCATCTTCAAGCTGGTACATGCTAATCTATCCAACAGATGCCTTTTACCAACCCATATCCTGGCCCCCACAGCATTATTATTATGGACAACTGCTGCATTCACCATGGTGAGGAAATTCGCAAGTTAGTTGAAGATATGCATCGTACATGACTATCCATCAATTGATATTTCTTTCGCTGACATCTCACAGTCTGCAAGTTGATCTATCTCCTGCCATACTCACCAGACTACAACCCCATCAAGCAAGCATTTTCTACAATCAAGGCATACTTGCATCACCACTCGGACAACTTATTGATGATGGTGATTGTTCATGCATGTCAAAGTATTATGCCTGAAAAGGCTGAGGGTTATTTCCATGTGTCTGGGTACATAGTGTAGTGACTGTATCACTGTGTCTAAGTAGATTCCCCCTTCAATTACCAGTCGATTTTGTGTGCAGGTTCAATGTAGTATGAATGTGAAAAATGGCCTCTAGGCCGACATTGCAATTGATACGATACCTATGTATGCGACATAGGCACTACATGAAGCAAGGTATGTAGGCAATATGTAGAAAAAATGACGTCCTCTGATTCCTCCCCAGTCTCATTGACAATGAAACCCCGGGGCACAGGTAACCACTGATCTTGACTCTCACAGTGATAATAAAGGTTGTAGTCAAGCGGGGCTGGCTTGCTACCATCGTCATCTTTGTTGATTGTCATCAGAGATGCTGTGAAACGACACCCACCACCATCCTTGAATCGCTTCTCATACGCGATCTTCTTCAATGGCCTAGTGGGTGGGGATGAGGCTTGGCCCACTCGCTTGTTGCCTGACGATGCCCCAGTGTCACTATGCTTCCTCTTCACATCAGGACCATTCCACCAAAGTAAACTTCCCTTCTTGAGATGAATGATGTCACCAGTGGTGATACCAGCCCTAGCAAGTGTCTGGTCATCGATATCCATGAGGATGTCAGGCCCGATCAACTGCAGTTCAAGTTCCCATTCATAGAGGGTGGCATTGTGAACACCGAGGTTCGATTCAGCATAGCGAAGAAAGCAGGAGAGATGAGATGGAGATGGGACAGGTGGTGAAATGGGAGGATCCTGTGGCATGCATGTGGGAGTCACAGGAGGCAGAACTGGAGAAGTGCAGGCACTAGATACACTGGGTGACAAGAGGCCAGAATTTGCAAGCATCTGAAGAAGGAGAACACCAGTAATAGAGTTGATATCAATATTTTGCAACGCCTGGGCTTGCACTTTGCAGGCTGGATGCAAAAATGGCACTTTGTTGCTCCAATTGAAAGACTTGAGGTTTGGGGGAACCAACAACATAGCTTGCCCTTCATCCTACAGATAGTTTAGGGATAGAATGTTCATGAGTAGTGAAAGACTTCCCAATGCACAGCACCAGTCCAGTACCATCACAGGTGAAAGGGGGATTGGCCGCACTGGCCCAACGTAAGTCATTCCCTCATCATTCTCATTCTTGTACCAGCTCAGGAGTTTCATGTGCCACCAGGCAAGGCACATATCAAGGTCTGAATGTTTCTGCTTTCCACTATCCTCACCAGACAAGTTGCTCTCGTCTCCAGAGCCATCAATAGTTGGAAGTTTCCCCACATGTTTCATATCGACATAGATCTTTGTTGGGCCAGGGTGAATGCTACGAATCCTCTTGACCATATCCTTGTAGTCAACTTCATTATCGACATCGATCGCATTACTGACAGCTTGGCTAAGGTAAAGCATGGTTAGCACAGATTTGCAGAGTGAGAAACGACTTACCTCTGCACTTTGGGTGGTACAAACTTGAAGGGAAAATGTTTACTGCTTGAGACCCTATATTGTCCTTGACCATGCTTGTCCAGTACATGCTGTAGAAAATCAAGGTAGTTAGTATCGTTGACAGCAAAAGTAAGCTCTTTTGTCTTCATGGTCGCTTTTGGTGCAGTCTTTCCCTTCTCCTTTTTCTTGGGTCCATAGACAGAAAGCAAAGTCATGAAAGAATGTAATTTTTCTGCGATGGGAGTGGGGGATTGCAACAGCAATGACATGTTGAAAAACAAGTCTGCCATAGGGACAAAGTCTAAGTACATGCTTACACTACACAATGTTACCATAGAGGTGGTTTCAGGGTCCTATCCCAGCTATATCTGAACAGACTAATTGTCAAACAGATTTTCTGCATCATTTTGCAAACAGCTGTAAATGATATTAGTGACAGGCCCATCTTTATGTTTCAACAGGGTACATCCTACTGGGGCCAGGCCTGCCCATATGTTGTGATGATATAAATAATACTACTGAAGGGCCCACCCATATGTTGTGATGCTATACATGAGATTACTGATGGGCCCATCTTTATGTCTCATCAGAGGTACATCTTATTGTGGATGGACCCATCCATATGTTGCATAATACTACTGACAGGCCTGACCTTATGTTGTGACTCTATTAAATGATACTAGTGACAGGCCCATCTATATGTTGTGACATTATGAAATGACATTACTGACAGACCCATCTTTATGTTGTGACACCATAAATGATATTACTCCTGGGCCCATCCTTATGTTGTGACCCTCTCCATGTTATGATAGGTGGGCCTGCCTTGATGTTGCAACAGGGGGGTAACCTACCAGGACAGGCCTGTCCATGTCTTACAGCAACTCAGTATACTTAATTGGTCATGGGCCCATCTAAATGTTTCAACATCCTTACCCACTGTGGGCCCTCCCATATGTTGTGGTAATGCACTTACAGGCCTGTACATGTGTTGCTCTCACTTTAGTCCCTTGGGCCTGTCCATGTGTACTGGCTAATCTATTTAGGTGGGCCCATCTCAGGGTCTATATGAGCATTGGTGTTTTGGCACACAGGCTGCCCATGTGTTGTGACTAAATGTGACTACACTATGTGAGCATCCATGGGTGAAGCTGAGTTCCATGGCAAACAAGGCCTGTCTACTCACAATTTGGATACTGGAGCAGAATTTTTTCATGGGAACAACATTGGTCACCCTCAACACTACACTGGTGACAATGAGGACTATAGCTTGGATGGAAGCGATGAAGAGGCCCAGATACATGATGGCCCATGTGTTCTAAACTATGTCTGTCTGGCAAAAACACCAGGTAGGTCTACTCTATGGCAGTGTTTCATGTGGCTGATCCTGTCCTGATCACATGCTACAGCACACAAATATCCCAGCAGCCTTTATGCACTTGCTCACCATATCCAGCAACCAAAACTCCCACTCCTGACTCACCAGTTTCTCCATTTCCAACTTCAGAACAATGTTGACCCCAATGACGACAATATAGTGCTACTGGACCTTTCAAGTCTGCCATTATCTGCTTTTCATAGTGCCACCTCAACTTTCTATGTCCCTAGTGACATATCTGGCCTTGGTTGCATGCACTCAGAGTGTATTTGGAGTACACCATCTTGGCAAAAAGGTCCAGCACACTATGATACCATTTTTCTAGAGAAGGAGCTGGAAATACCTGGAATGGGAAGACTCAATGTCACCAGGGTCTTCCTATTTTTCTCCTTTCACTTTGATGGCATCAGATATCCTTGCATGCTCATTCAATGGTTCATGACAATCCTAGATTGGCCTGATGAAGACACCAGAATGTGGATCATTCAACCAGACTTTGATGCTGATGGTGAGCATGAACTAGAAGTTGTTCATGCACATTGTATACTGCATGGGGCTCATCTTATTCCTGTCTATGGACATGATTGCCTTCCCTCTGACATTCATCACACTGATACTCTTGATATTTTTCATGCATACTATGTTAACAAATACATTGACCATCATGCTTTCAAGATCACCTTTTAGATTGCATAGCTAGCACAATGACAATTTTTTGTCCCATTCTAATACATCTGGACAGTCTGACTCATCTGTGTAATGCCTGTTAACATCTAATGCTCTGACACATACTTTGTCAGGCCAGTAAGTTGATCAGGCAAGATCAGAGAAAATCAGACACAACCAGACTACATCAGTCACATCAGATGAATTAGACCATTTGTAACTTTGCTGATGCAGCTCCCTACAGCATGTCTGCTGGTGAGAAGTGCAGGTCCACCAATGCAAATTCTTTTGCTGCTGGTGCTGGAGGAGGTAAACATGATTGTCACTCAAAGTAGCATCACCATTCCCACTTTTGCTCACTTGGTTCAGCTTTCCCTTGCTCTGTACATCAGAAATCCCATTTATTCTTGTGCCAGAGCTCTCATTTACATCTACATTCACTCACTGATGTCAAAGACTGCTACATTCTTTGTTCATCTCATACCCTGTTGATGTTTTTTGTGCTATCACATAGTCCATTGTACTACCACCATGGTGTTCAGTGTCCCACTGATTATCATATTCATGCATATTTTTAAAAAAACAGCCATGACAAAAGAGTGATGAATGATACTATCTATGGTAAAGAGTAACACGTTAGGGTGGTGGTGATGGGGCTCCCATCAATGGGCGTCAGTGGCTTCAAAGTTTTTGCATTTGCCATCCTCTCGGTCGAAGTTGCCAGTTTGGGAAGTCACTTCGTTCCACTTCGGACTGAATTCGACAGTAACACAAGTGCTTTATACAATTTGCTGTGCAGTTAATAGAGGAGTTCATCTTACATCACCTGCAATTATGGCAGTCATATTGCATTCAGCCCACCTGACGTCGAATGACGACTTCACGAGGTCATCAATGACATTTCTGGATCTATATCCTCCTCGGTGTTCATAAGGGCCAGGCCATCAGACCATGTTTTACTTCCTAGCCCCTTGTTCTTTGATAACTCCACCCTTCTAGGTGCCCTGCACTACATCGGCTTCTGTTGCTCCTCCACCATCTGGGTGTACTATGATAACCGGCCATTTATGCGCAGATTCTGAGCGCTACTGGCACACCTTGTTGTCAGATTTCGACTCGGTCCCTCTCACCGAACCTGTTCGTGCACCTTCAGCCTCCGCTTCTATTTGCATCACCAAATCAAGCTCAGACTTGGAGCATCCTGCTCTGGAACGAATGAAGCACGACGACATTCGATCGACGCTGCTTTATGCTTGGGCTGTCGTTCTGTCACAACATGCCAGCACTGACGATGTCCTCGTTGCTGAAGGCATGTCATCTGATGTCCTTAAGTTTTGCCGCTGAAGAATAGTGTATATCTAGTGCTACCTGGGATCGCTTTCGTCCCTCGACGGGTTCAGTTTGCCTCGACGTCCCCTGCTCGAGAACAGCTGTCCATGCAACTAGCTCAAGATACCATTCATGCTTCGGTAGCTTGGGAAGTCTCCCGGAGCATGATAGAGATAGACGAGGTAATCCACTCTGTTGTAGAGATCCTCGAGGAACCTGGGTTTTCCCTATTTTCCTTGCCTCAGCGATCGCATTTCCGCTCATACGACACGCCGCTGGATCTAACACTCTCGTATACCCCATCGCGGTCGTTCACCTTTACTTTGAGATTCGATCCCAGTGCCTTCGACGCGCAAGATGTGCAGTATATGCTCGACCACCTCATTCTTGCGTTTGAGCAACTCCTCGTTAACCCCTCATTGTCTGGTGCGGAGGTAAATATGATGACTGCGGATGAGCGTGCGTTCGTGGAGGAACTTCCCTCTGTCCTCAAAATCAACAGTTTAGCTGAACCGGAGAACCCCACACGTTACTCTTACGTTTACGATCTGCTGGCACGTCGCACCCTTACTCATCCAGACAACGTCGCCGTTGAATGCGATGGAAGAGTGGTATATACCTATGCTGGACTCGACGCCGCTTCCAATCAATGCGCGCGATACTTGAAAGACGTTTTATCTATTCGTCCCGGTGACATTGTACTTCTTTTCCTGACGCAGTCTCCAACGGCAATTGTTCTCCTCTATGCGATTCTAAAGGTTGGCGCAGCATATCTCGCTGTCGACATTGACATGCCTGCCATACCCTTCCACCAAACGGTCGATATGACTAACTGCTCGTTATTCCTGACGATTACATCACTAGAGGAGAAGCTGCGTACGATGAGCCGGGGACAGACTATTGTTTCGATAGACACCATGACAGAGAAATGGTGCCACTTAGACAGCACTTGGCAGCCTGACCTCTTCCCCATTGGAAATCCGAAAAACACTCTGGCGTACCTAAGTTTTACAAGTGGATCGACTGGTACCCCGAAAAAATGCATGACGTCGCATTCGAATTTGGTGCACTGGATCGTCGAAGCTGCACCCGCTTTCGGCCGTACGATGGAGACACGTCAGCTCATGGTAGGAAGGTCTTCGTCTCTGTCGTTGTCCGCAATCTGTGATACACTATACAGGCGCATGAATTGTACTGGGACGGCTCTATCGAAGAAATCTTCCTCACGCATTACGTAGGCGGAGCGGTTTGTATAGCTATGGTCCCTGAAATCATTTTCCACATACATGAAGCCCTCGTTGCAACGAAGGCCAACTCGATTACCCTTTCGCCGACGCAGGGTATGCAGTTGCACCCTGCAGATTACCCATTCTTGAAATTGGTTGTTTTCACCGGTGAAGCCTTGACGCAATTCGTACGAGAGAGTGCGTCTCATCTTCTGTGGCTTCTCCCTCTTACAAACGGGTTACGGCAGAATGGCTTGGTGATGGACGAACGCTACTCAACGCTTTCGGTCCCAGCGAGTCCATCTGCGCTTTCACGGTAGAAGTTCCTGTGCGCTCGTCAGCATCAAATAACACCCCCGTGGGGTTCAGTATTGGAGGGCAGACACGACTTTACGTTTTAGGTTCTGACATGAGGTTTGTGCCGGTTGGCTGCGTAGGGGAGATATTCGTGTCCGGTCCAACTGTGGGCTTGGGCTACCTTGGAGACCCAGAGGCTACCGCGCGATCGTTCCTGATGGACCCATTCAGGAGAGAGTTTAGGATGTACCGAACTGGTGACTTCGGCCGGTGAGTTTTAACGCGTCCTGCCCATTCTGATCTTTGAATGCTGGTTTCCCCAGCGTTAATCACGAAGGAAGACTTTACCTCACCGGCCGTCGAGACAGCCAAGTCCAACTAAACGCTTACAGAATTGAGCTGGGTGCGTTCATTCATCATTTCGGTTTGCAACTTGTGAGGTCTTACCCATCGCAGGAGAAATCGAGGCTGCTCTCCACACGACCGAAAGCAAGTGGGCGATAGCAGTAGATGTTGTCACGTACAATGAAGAGCCACGCATCGCTTCATTCCTTGCGCCACGCTTCGTCAGTGGTCCACACAGTTTGAAGCTTCAGATTGCGGACGATGTCAAAGCTGAGATCCTCCGCTTGATGTCTTTCATTCAGCCGAGATTACTGAAGGTCTGTTACCCTGAACTCTGGATCCCGCTGGATGCGCTGCCATGTACTCTCAGTGGAAAGTTGAACCGTAAATGTTTGCGGGAATTTTTTCATGGGTTGTCACCATCTACGCAGAACGAGCTCGCCATGCTTTCCACTGCACCAAAACATGATGCGTGTTCCGCAGCTCAAGTAGCTAGTAGACTTGGGACGGGGATATCGGAGGGTCTTATGCAAACCCGCTATGCTACTTACCGTGGTTCCTTCTGACCATCTTTTGGACTTGGAGCCACCTTCTCCTGTAGAACGGTTTGCAAATATCACTTCTGTTGTGTGACCAATGTACACAACTGACTATCGAAGTTGCAATGGAAGAATGGAAGTTGTGACACAGCCCTCCATTTCGTGTGAAGTGGACATGAGCAACCTTAAATCAAGGTAACATCATAGTAGACTAGCACGTTCTGCGCGCTGAAGCCGTCCACGGGTGGTGCGGACACTGCAAGTGCGAACAAGTGCGACTACAGCCTGCGGCATTGAGTTCGTTTTTGACGAACTCTGGCTCCTACCTTGCGATGACCCGTTATACGTGCGTCGTGAGATACGGTAGGAGAAACCATCTGGTACGTTATGCCTCAATTGGCTGCTTATAAGCACAATCCTCACCCCACGATGGTGGGTACACAGTCGCCACGCCTCGGTCTGCGGCGCCTTCGGCCGTCCTCCGAGAGGACTTTTCAATCTTCGTTCATGAAATGGATATGGTATTCTGTATCCGTGTCGGAGCTTTAGACTACTAGTTGGTTGTGTTACAGCGTTCAACCTCCAGATCTTGGTGGTGGAAGCAAGATCCACAGCTTCAGAGTATGCTCTTGTCACTGGCAGCCTCGTGAGAGGGCAGCGAGTCCCATACGTGTCCTGGGAGCAGAAAAAATCGGAGTCGAGTCCAAGCGGAGATCGCAAGCAATGATGAGGGATCCTACGTTACGAGATACCCGTCTCGAGAACATTTCCTTGTGCAGGGAACAACCGACACGTACCTCTCCGTTCGCAAAGGTGAGATATATGTAATTTATCACCCTGCATGTCGGCGCTAGCGGAAATAGACAAAACGGGAGTATAGTGGTTATCAGCCATACACATTCATGAAAAGCGCGCTTGCAAGAAATGTGGACCACGAATATCAACCAGGGAAATGGGGTTGCTAGGTCTCCTCAGCTCCGGAACAAAGTTCCCGTCGCCCAAGCCTCTGAAAATGCCGTAGCTGGTAGCGACATGCAACGAGAAGCCTTCGCAAACCTAACTCCTGGAAAACTCGAAGTCGGCCTACGCCACAAAATGCACCTACCAAATACCAATAAATATCGAGACCACACCCTGCCGATGAGCTCTATTCACAAACCGCGCACGCGAATTAAATTACTGGGAACCATAGTGTCCCACTCGTCATTTTACCTGCGTACCACAAGTCCCATGCACGATCGAGGTCAGAAAGGTAACGTGGATTAAAAGACTTCCGTCGTATACCGTTTATTCACTTCCGAGAGCTCCAGGAAGCCCTGTGATAGAATGTTAGGCGGCAACAAGGTTCGCGAGGCCGACATGGGGTAGGGTCGTACCTGCAATCTCCGCGGGGGGGTGATGCACAGTGAACAAAGGACGATGCCATTGCAACGTATTTGACAGGAACCCAGGATAACCTTGGCATCAACACCCGTGAAAGGCGGTCATTTCTTATCTGCATCTGGCCTGTGGCTGGAGAACGTTCCAAGGCAGAACAGCACGTTTGCCGCCTTTCAACGTTCAAAGTGATGTCCGTAATACTTTGTGACTTGCTTTATGTGCACATTTCCTTTGTAGCGGGCACCGACTGTCATGGAAGAAGTCAGAATTGGCCCGCGGGATCAGTGCGATCGCTCACTCGTTGGGCAAGCTTATCACCCAGGGTTTATTATTGCGGACGACATATTCGCGTGCTCGGCCTGTAAAGTCCGTTCAAACAATAGGGAGCCGCTAATTGTCTTTCGTCGCTGTCATTCGACGTACTTTTCGCACCATTGCGTTCTGAGACGTTCTTATTGTTGTCGCTGTGGGACGGAATCAGTAACACCTGTCATTGGATTTCTATATGTGGATTAGTTAGGGGTCGAATAGCCAGATCAGGAAATTGCTATTCATTGAGTTGACGTGAACGCCTGGACTTGCTTTTTGTCTTTGAACGACTGGATTCGTGAGCGGATGGATCGGTGCGTATTTATTGGCAGTTTCCATTTCACAAGTCTTTCAACGTCTCACCGCCATTCCCTGATCATGCCAGCCCCGAGAGCATCTACATCGCAGTCCGTCCAGCACGGTGTTCAGCTCTGTGTACAAATATCTAGGGAATCCGAGACGACTACATCCCACTCCGTAAACTCCGGAGCATCTTCAACCTTACCCATCCTCCCCGCGTGCCCTGCTCCAACTGCTTCCCACCCGAGAAGACAATCCCGGGACGATGCGCTGACGGATTTCTTTGGCGGTCGCGGACAACGCGTGCGTGCCCAACAACAACAACAAAGGCAACCGCGGCAACACCGTTCACCTCCACCATATTCTCCTGATTGGGATGGCGAGAAGCTGCCCGCCTACACACCATCTTCAGTCTGAACCAGACACCGTCGCTCGGCAACTGTTCAAATATGGATTCTGTGAGTATCCTACATAGCTTGACCTCCTTCGTATGCTTACGATCTCTCTTTTTCCACAGTCTTCCCGCTATTTTGGGCGATAGGAGTGTATTTTATGTTTGCGCCCATGCGCGTCTCCCACGATTGGGAGCAAGGCAAAACAGAAGAAGAAAAAGAGAAAATACTGTCGAACTTGCGGCAGACGGAAATGAAATGGGCGAAAACGTTGTCTATGGGCACTTACTTTCTTTCTTTGTCTGTATGGTCCTTATCATCGTCGCTGTGGTAGTAGCGTCGAGGCGTCATTAACTCCTGATTCCATCTTACCACTAGACATTGTCATCCCCCCCATACGTGTATCGTATATCATGGATATCTTTTAGTAGTACCTTGTACATTATCCGCAATTTTTATCCTTGGACCTTTCAACGCATTCAGACTGCGTACTGTGCACGGTGTCAGGCTGTGCAATTTCATATGAGTCGCTTGCCCAAGCTACGAGTATAGCTGACCCGCCAGCCTGTTTCTTGTCGATAAGTCTACAGCGGTCAGTTTGATGCACTCTAACAGTCATGTAGCACACTAATAGTGTGCCGGGACAGTTCCAACTCTTCTGATAAGATGGTCAATTGTGAGTAACTTAGCGTCTGTTGTCGTCCAGTTATCCTCACAGCACTTGCCGTTTGGGCGATCTCACACAGTCGCAGAGCTCAAAGCAAAGGCAGAGAAGGCCAAGGATGCCGGGGTAGCTAAAGTCGTAAACACTAAAGACAGATACTCGAGTATATCTTCCTCCAAGACCACCTGGGACCCGAACTGGAAGCGTGGAACACCACGTTCCTCCACTTCCTCTCCGCCACCGCCGCCTCCACCACGGCCCACAGGTGCTCAGGGTCGTGGAGTAGTTAACACGGACGAATTGCCCCCCTCACCATCACGGAGCTCACGTCCTGGTACCACCATCTCGCCGGGAGACGTAACCCCTAACCCCTCTCCTGTCGTATCTCGCATTCTGCGGCCCAGATATATCTTCCCCCACGACATCCGAAGCATCTAAACTCCCCGCCACCAAAACGATCCTCTAGCGGTTATCCACCAAACCACAAACGGACGAACAGCTATGCCGACAACACAATGGATAGAATAGATTGGACGAATCTCAGTGCGGATGATAAAGAGGAGTTCTTCCGATGGTTGGATGAATTCTTCTCCCGATACTTGAATGTCGAGCTAGGTCCGAGGACGTCTCGGGTGCCGTCTTCGCCCTCACTTACCGAGACTTCTGTGCGCCCGTCTGCGGCAAGATCAGGGCCACCAGTATGTATTCACACTTCTTGGTGGGGTCCACAAATCTGATGAAACGACGACTCGTGTGTCATGCAGCCCGTGAATACTGCTACCCGCCCGCACGCCTTCTGAAGAGCGTGTTACGATCGCCTTCATGATTCTCGATGGGTTGTGCAGTGCATGTAGCGATCGATTTACATCTGATATACATACTACAGTGGTGGTGTCGTGATCTTACATAGGCAAGTGTATCCTGAGCGACCAGAAGCTACATGTGTAGTGATCATAAATTACGTATAAATTGAGAGCCCCGCTCTGGAGATCCCGATAGAGGTGGGAAGAAGCGTACGGCTAACTCGCCATTCATCTCCCTCGACGAGTACCTGCCTGCGTAGAGCTCCAAGTCACCGCGGCTGCTGCTGGCAATCAGGATGCTTTGTTTGGTATAAATTTTGTACTCTTCTGTTTTCCGTGACTACCTGCCGATCCCAGGAAGGAACGTGAACAAGCTGAATGATTGTGGAGTCATGTACGCGACCTACAGGGGGGCAGCCACAGTTGATGGCTGTCTTATGCATGTGAGACTTGCTTGTCTTGCATCTTGGAGAGTTACAGTCCATCACGTCACCCGTAAAGTAGCGCCCGTGAAAATGCTATGGTTTCGGCAATTAGTTTGGACTCTTTGCACACGTATCGAAACGTACTCCACAGCCCCTATGGTAGTCCCCGACACTGTCCGCGGTAGAAACCGCGTCAACACTATACCCTGAGCAGAGGAATATCAAGAAAACACCGTACATTTCGTGGTGACACATAATAGCGATGCTCTTGAAGAAACTGTCACCCGGGAGATATTGAATGAACGACAGTACGCAAGCTTTTTATGGTCGACCACTGGAAGGAATCGTAGGGAAAGGGCAGAAGGAATGGAGTACCGGCTGGTACCGGGCGCACAAGAGGTGCTTAAACATTTTTTCCTTATTTTATATTTTTATTTCAATTTTATTTTATTTTTACGCCGTGCCCCACATGCGTCACCTTGGGGTTAGCCGGGGCGGATGTGCGCTCGGAGCAGCCTTATCCAGTTCGGAAGGTACCATAACGGGAATGTCCGGTGACAGGGAAACAAGATTCAAGTGATGTCATCACACCACGAACTGACGATATCTTTTGTCAAGTACTTCCGCGTGCCCGGGCGTCAGCCAGTACAATCCAGTTAACGGTACGTCTTGTTGAGACATAGTCACCATTAATGCGATGGGGCCTGCGAAATGATATGCCAATACCTCGAGGGCGTCGACATCATAACAGGCTCGAAAAGCAGCAAAAAGTACGCCGTTGGTGTGATCATCGTTACAGCAACAAATTTTACACCCTGTTGTGCGGGCACGCGTTATTTCGCCTAGGCAAGTACTTTCGCCGATGACAACCTTTGGGCTTCCGACGGGATACTGGGTGTCGCCATTTGGACTCGTGCGGCAACGACCATCTGTAAAACGGTCGAATTAAACCTTACACTTTGGCCAGGTTTTTGACTGGGTAAACGCTAAGTGTCAAGTTGGCTGGCTAACTTGATGTTTAGCTTTCGCAGATGACGAATGCCTTAACCGTCCACAGTATTCGTAACGCACGGAAATAGTGTGCTGCGGAAGACTTCACGTTCCTGCATTATATGAAAGCGACCTGCAGGTCATTCCATACGACTAAATATAATCCGCAACGAAACACGCTGCATTGAGATGGGAAGCACTCTCACCTGACTGCCCAAGTCAGCTTGGCCAGTTGCAACACACATTGGGATCGTCGTCTGAGCTGTGTAGGCATATGCGCCAGTCAGTCCTGCATGAGACCGAAGGCGGATGGAAGACGAGCCACACTGAGTTCGTCGTGTACATGATGCAATATGACATTATCCGCACATAGCGGTCCGTGCCTATTGGATGGCTTGTCATCTGATCTGCCGCCACCATTATCGTATCTTGTGTCTCGGTAACGAGAAAACTGACCCGCCGCAGAGCGAATCACTACGCCAGGCTTACATAGGCATACACGTTACCGTGTACTAGAGTCACACGTGGAGCTGGTACGGATGCTGATGCGCTTAAACGGGTCCTTGGCATCTTGGGCAGTTGAAGGCGCGCTGGACTAGGAGCTTGGGGCTCAGATTGATGCGGGGGCATCACCGCCTTTCGACAGAGCAGCCGACCATGGCTTTCAGCATCCCTTCAGTCACAGCCTCATTCGCAGCATTATGCGACTCCGAGCGTCGCTCTTGAACGTCGGGGGTTATGATAACCCCAATATATTCGGTGGCTTCGTTCTGTTCTCAAGTCGTAGCCCAAAAGAACTCCTTCACGCCATCGGGAAAAATCGTTCTGAGCACGTGGCTCCCAAGTTCGGATAGCTGATGCTGATTGGCTGGGCATTGCAACAACCTATTGAGCTATTGAGGTCGAACTTCGGGTGCTATTAGAGCAACAATAGTCAGTAAGGGGTGTGTGACTCTGACGTAGAAACAGAGTTTAGTCTTCGGACGAACGTAAGTAAGCGGCACTTTCCTTTTTCTTCCATGCTGCCACCTCGTGCGCCGTTCCTCCTCATCGCACCCACCCGTCCCTCCCCTTTCCTCAAACTCCGTTTTCGGCGTCTCGCAGTCTCACACTCTGCGGTCCCTAGCGCGTCAGCTCATCCTGCTGGCATGTCTCCTCTGCTGGGCGTCCCCACCTGCTCTCGCAGCTCACGCTCAATGAGCAGGATCTCGCTGCCGTTCGGGGCCGGCAAGCGCTTCGCGCTTCCCCCAATCTCTCTCCCCCTGAGCTATGCTCTCTCGTACATCACCTGCATGGTTTTTTATATACATCTCACATCAATGCCATTGCTTTCCCCGTTTCAGTTCCGCGCACTCAGTGATGTCCAAAGAGTCGGAATTGATGCCAGGAACGACAGAGTTGGAGCGTTTATGACATGACTGATCACGACACAGGGGACTGCGGGAGGACATGCGAGAGGATTAGTGGTAAATTATGTTTCGGGTAACCATGAATGCTATGGTTCGCTGACTGATATTTGTGGAGGAATTCGGACCACAGCCTCAACTAGCAGAGAAAGAGGGAAGTTCTGCGTTGCATTATCATCGGTAAGAAGTCGCCGCCGCTGCTGCGATCACGGAGTATTGTCAAGTGCACATGCATGCTGTGTCGCCGGATTTACCGTGTCAAAAATTGGGGTGATAGCGATGGTGTGACGGGGTGGAGAGTTCTTGATGCTGGGTCATCAGGAGTGTTCCTGTTAACCCAAATCCCCACCCTCGAAATCGTCGGCATGGTAGAATAGCCGTGGGGAAAGGCGCGGTAGCTGCTAGCCAAGTAAGTTGGGGCTTTTGTCATGTACGTATGCATTAATGATGTAACGTGCGCGCCGTCTTGAGCGACGAGCGTGTTGTCATCCCCACAGAATGAAGCCATCGATGCGATGCACTCGGGGGGACTCTTCAATCCGTCGGTTGCAAGTACACTGCGATGGGGTGGGTACGGGTACCGTTCTGGCCGATGAAATTCTCCATCGATCAGAAACATGTCGGCTAAAAGAATGATGCCCGCTCCAAACTGTGGTGCTAATGGCTATTTTAGACTTTCCTCTCGTATAAAGACACATTTTGTCTGAGATACGATAAGTTTCTCCCCCTTGTCTTTCGGTCTCACCATGTCGGATAGCGTGCAGGAGTTGAAGCCTGGCCATGAGCACCATCTCCACTTGGACGCAAAGACTAGGGTTGTTTCGTGCGTGGTTCACTCCTCGTTCGTCCTCCACCTTTTCACCCGATAAGTACAGCAACGTCGATGCCAAGTTGGCCAATCCACTACGAGGCATTCCTAATGAAACCCTCATGAACGAGGTTGAGATATTCGCTCAGGAGAGGGGCCTTCCACATCTGCTTCCTGAACTGAAAAAGGGGGCTCTTGTAGCACAAAATGCGGATGGTCAGTGTGACTTGAATTTGTCCCTCGGTCTGTCTCAAACCCCTGCCAGCCTACAAGCAGTACGACATGTTTACAGACGAAGATAAAAAGTTTCTGGAGGACGAGGTTACCCACAAATGGAGACAAACAGGGACCCTCTACTACGTGCGCACTCCACATTTCGACTTTCACACATGGAGTACACCTTTGACGCGCGTTCTCCCATACTTACGTAGATGGTTGTCATGTCTTCCCTGGCTGCCGCAGTACAAGGCATGGATGAGGCTGTCATTAACGGGGCCCAACTTTTTTATCCGTCACAATTTGGAATGGATACTACAACTTGTGTGTACTTTGCTTCTATATATGTCTGCTTACACCACTCTCATCATACGTATCAGCGCGTGGCAGCTGGTTACTCGGCGTCGTCAACTCTGCGCCGTATCTGTAGGTTATCATTAGCGTCCAATCATCTTCCTTGCCATCACTGATTCACGCACACTAGTTGCTGCGCAACCTTGTCATGTTGGCTTACCCATCCCTTGAATCAATGGCTTGGGCGGAAAAAAACGATTTTTGTTACTTGCTTAATCTCGTTTCTTACTTGCATATGGTCAGCATTGACAAATACCTGGTGGCATCTTTTCATCGCGAGGTTCTTCCTCGGTTTCGGCATCGGTCCCAAATCTGCGACCGTCCCCGTCTATGCCGCTGAATGTGCGCCGGCTCCAATCCGTGGTGCACTTGTCATGATGTGGCAAATGTGGACAGCATTTGGCATCGGACTCGGCGACGTCATTGATCTAGCATTCTACTTCATTCCCGACTCAGGAGGTATCAGGGGCCTCAACTGGCGGCTGATGCTCGCTTCTGCGGGTATCCCGGGTTTGATCGTTTGCTTGCAAGTTTTATATGCACCCGAATCTCCTCGTTGGCTAATTGGCAAGGGTCGGTACGAGGAAGCCTTCAATGAGCTATGTCGCTTGCGTTTTTCACGTGTTCAAGCTGCCCGCGACCTGTACTATATCCATATCCTGCTCGAAGCGGAGAACGAGATGAAGAAGGGTAGAAACCGTGTCGTGGAGATGTTTACTATTCCCCGTAACAGGAACGCAGCGCTCGCAAGTTGGATTGTCATGTTTGGCCAACAGTTCTGTGGGTTAAACGTAATCGGTTAGTTTACCTTCTTGCCTGGAGGCATATCGTAGTCTGATCGCTCTCGCAGCGTACTACTCGTCGAACATCTTCTCCCAGTCTGGTTTCTCGGATACCTCTGCTCTCGCGGCAACTGTTGGTTTCGGAGTTTTGAACTGGTTATTCGCGCTCCCAGCAGTCTTTACCGTATGTCTTCTCTTTCTACGGTGTCTGAACTGTAATTCACCCACCCCAGATCGACACGTTCGGGCGTCGTAACTTGCTCTTGTTCACCTTCCCGTGTATGGCTATTTGTCTCCTGATAACTGGCTTCTCTTTCTGGGATACCTTCAGGGAAGGACGAATCGTTGGGGTAGTGATTGGCATCTGTATGTGAACTGCTTGTTTTGCTCAGTACAACTGTCGCTTACATTCTCCCAGATCTTTTCGCCATCACCTACTCACCCGGCGAAGGGCCTGTTCCATTCACTTATTCGGCTGAAGTATTCCCACTCTACATCCGCGACATTGGCATGTCCTTCGCAACCGCAACGACTTGGTTCTGGAACTTTGTCTTGTCCATCACATGGCCGTCTCTGGTACTTGCGTTCAAGCCCCAAGGTGCATTCGGATGGTACGCAGCGTGGTGCATGATTCTTTGGTTCCTCATTCTCCTCTTCGTACGCGAGACGAAGGGTAGGACGCTCGAGGAATTGGATCAGGTGTTCTCAGTTCCCGCCCGCGTCCATGCTGCGTATGGGCTCAGACAAATCCCGTATGGTATCAAGAAGTTCATACTGTTCCAAAACCCGGCACCAGAGCAGCTTTACCAGCCAGAGTCAGAGGGTGAGGAGAACATTGGCCCTGGGGACGGAGCCGGGAAGGAGGCTCGTCGCAGTGCAGCCGCGGGACCATAGAAGTCCCGTGTGATTCTTCGTTGCTTCACTCGTTAAATCATTTATCCGAGTCCAGGCGGGTCCCGGTGTTAGATTGAGCAAGTCGTGCTGTCCCAATGCGGCTGTTCCAAGCCGTGAGAACAAGCTTCCGTTCTTGTCCTCGTAAACTTATCATTCTTGTTGTTTGTGCAACTAATTATAACTTTGTTTGCACCCAGTTGTATCTTTTGTGTCCTCAATGTTTCATACCTACACAATGCTTGTGTTGTTCATGAAGGCTGTAGTATGTCCCACAATGAGACTATTGTTGTTCTATATTGCAGCTGCTTTTGAAAGTGTGGAAAATGCATCACCAGTTTCATCCCAGGTGGGCAGGACCCCTGGAACTGCCTAAGAGTTTACTAGACTAAGTAACCTAGCCACTGTCCAATGAATATGTATGTACATACCTTGCATTGTGTACCTGTCTCCTTATCAACATATCTCTCCATGCCATGAAAAACAGTCTCCAGTGATCTAAAATTAGTCATACCAGTAGTGCACATACAAGGTTGTTTAGTCTAGTAAGCTACTAGGTGGTTCCAGGGGTCCTGCCCACCTGGGATGAAACTGGTTGGTGCATTTTCCATGAACTTTTGCAAACAGCTGTAACAGGTTTAACAACACCTGAATGTCTTACATCTGCAAACCACCCAACTTCTCACCTATGGTTGCTTCACTGCAGTCAGGTTACATTACACCTATGGCAACAACAGATCTGGAGATCCCAGGCATTGATTAGTGGAGATTGCCTGGACTGTGCTTAGATTGTTAGATCAGTTCACTCATTTGTGAACTTCCAAAATCTCAATAATCCCAAATGATAATCATTAGATTTTGCAAGTCACTTGTAGCCTTTGTTCATTAATTAATGCTACTTTTTCTTACTGTGAGAAACACTTACCATTTATGGGTCTACAAGACCACAACACTTGGTTGTTTGTGTGCTAACAATACAGCATGGTAATTTTTACTTATTGTTTCCAGTGTGTCATATGAATACTTAATAATACAAGGTCTTGTGCTAAGACTGCACTTGTAGTTTTGACACCAGATTCAACATCCATGTCTCACTCTTTGTTCCATACAATGTACTTAGCTTGCTACTGTAGTTACACCACCTTAGATGTTTGCCACTTGCACACTCAACTAAGGTGGGTATAGTATTTTCTTCTTGTACTCATGTACTTCATGCTTACAGTGTTACCTTAGATCTCTGTATAGGTAATGCATAACAGACATTTGCTGCTTGTGCACTTGACTGAGATCTTTGTGTAGATTTCTATAAGGTTATGAGCCCCAAGCTCTAATAGCCTATGAATGTCTCACCTAATTTTTCAATACTCTTGCTGCCCCTCATGGTTCCAACCCCTATGTCAACTGCCATCCCTGTTACTACAGACACCCTCCCAGGCAATGTTCTGGAGCTTGATATCAAAGGCATGAATTGGGCAATTTTCTCCCTTCACTTCCAGACTGCCATTGAGGCAAAGGAATTGTGGTCCCATTTCAATGGCACCTCTCCCTGCCCTGCTGGCATGACCTCCACCAATTTGGATGGATTCATGACTGTAGTCCCTCCTGATGCTGATGAGCTCACTAAATGGCAGAAAAGTGAGAATATGGTGAAACATTTACTCTCTCAATGAATCCCTGATTCCACAGCCCTGTGAGTATGTAGCTTTAACAATGTCACAGCCATGTGGAATGAAATTGCCCATGAGTACACTGAAAAAGGAGCTTATGCTCAGATGGATCTTTGAATGAAGTTCCTGGCCATGCAATGCCCTGTTAATGGTGATGTCCATCAATTCTTGGATGATCTGCATATGAAAAGAGATGAGTTAGCTGCCATTGGTGTACAGATTGAAGAGAGGGATTATCAATCAACTATCATTCAATCTTTACCTAAATATCTTTCCAGCTTCATGTCTGGCCAACTTGCAACTGCTCATCTGTACAGTCCAACCCTGACCTTCTCATCTCCCTTATTATCAAAGAATCAGAATGATGAAACTGCAAGGAGACATGGTACTCATGTCCTAAACAAAGGGCTTGTGAAGGCAATGAAGCCTTGGTCATGACCCCTGGGAATTCTTCCAGTTGGGGGGTGAGGGAGTTGGAGAGATGGATGACAGGGAGGAAGCTCCACAGGCCCCACCCATCAGCATGGTCCGTGTTGGAATTGTTATGCTAAGACTGAAGTCAAGGTGCAAGGGGAGCTCAGCTGCAGACTATGGCTTCTACTGAGCAACTGAGCAATGGCTGCAGTAACCTCTGTATTTGACAGAGGATTTAGGCAACACCAGTAAGAGTGGTCCTGATTAGGGACACTGAGGGTGAAGTTCTGAGAGAACACTGTGTATGATTGAGCAGCTCAAGTCTGGGGTTCCAAGACTTGAGCCAGCAGTCTAAATACTACAGAGAAATGGACAATGAGGTGTCCACATGTAATGAGGTAACTACACCATTGGTTGAACAACAATGGCACATGTCCTAAGCATGTTTTGAGAGAGTAATGCTAGTGGTGGAGATAAGGGGCCATCAGATCAGAGAGAAGATGGCTCAAAAAGGAAATAAAGTCCAATGGAAGGAAACACAAGGTAAATGTAAGGCAAAACATGGAAAACAGGGGTGAAATGTAACAGGATTGAGAGATCACTTTAAATCCAAATGCCCAAAACTCAACAAGTCAGCAAACCATGGCATGACAGATGATGTGAAGAAGGACTCAGCTAATGCAGTGACTTTCAACTCCAAAGAGGAAAGGGCATTCTCGGACATTGCTTTGAGTGACCTTGATGATGATCTTACCATCCCTGACCTGCTAAGCATCTCTGATGAAGAAGAAGAAGAAAGGTCAAATTATGTTCCCTCTGAGGAAGACCTGTTCAGTGAAATTGGAGGCATTGATGATGATGGAAATCACCTACCTCCTGGTAATGACACCACCACTGACAACTCTACTGAACTGTCCCCAGATCTGGTGAGTCTTGTGCATGATGGACCCATCAGCATGACTACCATAGAACTCTGTGACTCTGGTTCCATGTGGCATAACTTGCCATACAAGGATCAATTCCTGTCCCTGACTGACATCCCACTGAAAATGTTCATGGCAGCTAATAGACAATCCTTTAATGCAACTGGATGCAACTAAGCTAAGACTCACCAAAGTCTTGATCAGTTAGGCTATTCTGTTACCTTTGCTGATGGAACCTGCATCATTCACAGCCCTGATGACAAAATTATCAGGCACATACCTAAGACCTAAGCAGGCATCTATTGCATCATCCACAACAGCATGCATGATGGAGCAAGTGTAGCAGTAGAGACTATCATTGTTATGGAACTCCATTGCAGGATGGGACATATCTTGCCCACTGTCACTTGTCACCTGGCTGGAAATGGGCTCATGTCAGGCCTGAAGTTTGATCTATCAAAGGACAAACCTACATTTTGCAAGGCCTGTGTCTATGTGAAGGCTACTAGAAAACCTATCACCAAGGAATGCATTGGTGAGTGTGCCATGGAGTTTGCTGCTGAGGTCCACACTGATGTATGGGGACCAGCCCCTGTTAAGATGCCTGGAGGAGGGCATTACTACATTACATTTACAGATGATAAGACTTGTCTCATGTACCTGCACCTCCTTTGCCAGAAAAGCAAGGCCTTCACTGCCTACAAGGACTTCAAAGCCTGGTGTTGCACCCAACACAATGCTGTCATCAAAGTCTTGCACTCTGATCATTGAAGGAAAATCATTTTGAGTGTGAGAGAGGGGAACAGTAGATTCTGGAGGGAATGAGTAAGTCCAGAGGGGCTTCTATAGCCTGAGCAAAGGTGTGAAGGTGACATCTGGGTCTTCTAGGGCAGCCTTAAGCTCAACTTGAACTCTTCTTGTCTCAGGGTAACTTGTCTCTTGTTTTTTAAAAAAATAACTACATATATCAAGTACTAGGTAGGGCTGACTAAGCAACCAAAAAGCGAGAACCTAAGTACAGCTAGCAGAAAAGTACCAAAAATGAAAACTAATTAAAATGAACAAAACAAAACAATTCCCCTAGTAGGGAAATTATATTCCCTACATCACAGTGTCACACACCAAAGGTGTTGTGGACATGGTTACAGCTGACTCTGCCTAACTCATTGATGAGATGTGCACAATGCCCATGCAATGCAGATGAAGACTAAAGGCCTCATGTATAGAAAGACTGCTGGACATGAGCAGTCATCCTTCACACAAGAACAAGTCATCAATGTTAAAGAGAAAAGAGGAAGTGAGTTAAGCATGCATTAAAAGTTTTAGCACCCATGTATGGCATTCTGGTTTTTGTTGTATCTCCACCATTTCCAAAGATATTGACTCCATTCTCACACTCACTTAAAGTGCTCAGCTGCATGATTCTGCCTTCCAAATTTGGAGAGGATCCTCACACCCTATGCATTTCTACAGCACTCCATCCATCAGATACTCATTTTGCTGTAGGTTAGGTAAAAAAGTGAAGCTGGCAAGTGCAGGGGACTCCCAAGGGTGGATAGAATTGGGTCTAGTTTGACCCAGAGGGACTCTGTGCTTGGATCAGTGAAACAGAGGCAAAGGAGTGGATTGGAGTTGGGCAAAAGGAATGAAGTGGGGAAATGAGTGAGTAATGGCATCTGGAGGTCATCTGGGAGTGCCTCAATGAGGGCTTGTCACAGTCTTTCATTCAGTCTTCTATTTCACTGTCTCACTGTCTGGTTTCTTCTTTTTTCTTTATTGTGTACTGTAGACCTACACTAGTGCACAAAAATGCTGACTAAGCTACCAAAAATGCGCCACACAGGTAGGCTAAGTATCACTAATGTAAATCAAAGCAAAAATATGGTAGAAAAGATAAAATAATTAAATTTCCTTAGTAGGGAGTACTTATTCCCTACATCACTAAGTCCAGCAGAAATGGCTGCCTCTTTGTTGGTCATCTTGCTTGTCTCATTTGCCAGAGACAGTGGCTATGTATATCTGCCAGGTGTTCCCACCAGCTGCTGTCCTGAAGCCCCCTGGTTCATTCCATCATTGTCAGCCCCATTACATCCCATGCAGCTTGGTCAGCATGTTCTCCTTATCAGTATGACTTCCAGAAGGATGTTCTTTGGTCACCTCAGGTCTGTCACGTGGTTAGAAAGGTCTTATGTGGTCATTTCAGTCTCCCCTCTTGATGAAGCATATGGATTGTTCCTCCCTGCTCCCTGCACCATCTTTATTCCAATCTTGTCCATGATTCTCCCCACATTGTGACAGCTGCAGCATAATCTACTGTTCTCCAGCCTCCCTGATCACATCCATGA